CAGTAGTGCTGGTGATAGCAACAGTAATAGTAATAGCAACAGTAGCAGTAGTAGCAGTAGTAGCAGTAGTTTCAGTAGTAGCAGTAGTAGCAGCCAGCACTGATCATTTGCAATTCCTGCAGCACTTTGGCAGATTATGTTGCGCAGGAATCCATTCATTACAGTTGATTCCTCTTTCCAATTTGATTTTCAATTCGCGAAAATCATTTTCGGAACCCCCGGAAGCTGACAAAATAACTTTTTTGAGAATGTGGAACAGGTTCGGTTCCATTCGGTTTGCGTAAGAATCATTGGCGGTTCGGTTCGTGCCCATTCGGTTTGCGTAAGAATATCACTAACTTAAGAATGCATCCCAGATCGTAGGGTATTAGTTTGTAGGGGTTTGCCCGTTCATGATTTTCAGGAATGCCTACCTGATCTCAGAAATGCCTAGGTGATTTGAAAATGACATAGGCATTTCTGAAATTTAGGTAGGCTAATCTGAATTTTGGTAGACTAATTTGTTGTCCAGAACGTTGTGCAAACAAATGTGGTTTCATTTTTTTTACAAAATATTAAAAAAAAACAAAATATTTTCAAAAAGATAAAATCTAAAATATGGTAAAACGTTGATTGAACGTTTACCTGCGGTTGTGTTATTATTGTGAAGAGTCTTCTTAGTAGACCTCACCTGCGTGAATTAAATCATGTCATTGCTTCGATCATGTGTGTGACTTGTGTCAATTTTGTCAATTGAACCGGTCAATTCTGTCAAAAATTTTTAAAAAATGTCAAAAATTTAAAAAAAAATAAAAATTTTAAAAAATAAAATTAAAAGAATGAAGATGAGAAGCTGAACTCAATTAGTCAGTCAGTCAATTGTTTCAAGTGCCACAATCAGCTGAAGTCAATTGATCCAATTGCCACTTCTCGCCGAGCCTGCAAGCAAGTTATTAAGAATTACTTTTGAAAAAATGCAAGCAGGACCAGCAACAAACAGTAGGCAGGCCTAGAGCGTCATCCAGACCTGATCTGGTTCTTGAGTCTTGCTTTGGGAATGCGAATGGGAAGTGATATTAATAAATGTCAAAGAAGTCAAGCATGCCTGCATTGAACTCTTGGTAGCGGAGCAAGCTTGGTAGCGGAGCAGAACAATTCCAACCTCAGTACACATATTTGAAGTATTTCAAAAAGCCAAAGGGCTAATGACTCAATTGAGCTAATTGACTGAAGCACATGAGATGGCAAGCGCTGAACTTGCAGTGCTCTGTCACTGATTGCGCATTTTTTTTGCTGGAGCAAATGCCATGTTGCCTCTTGACCCCACAGAGACGGTCAAAGTTGACAGAGGGACGCACCACTCAGGTGAGTCAGCACAAAAGAACCCTTGGGCTATAGTACTCTTGTCGCATTCAAGACACTTTTGAATGGACAACGCTGAGCAAATTGAGCGTTGTGAAGTTTTCACGAAGCTCGAATCTGCTCGTAGATTTGGGCGACACAAGCGCCAAACTCTGGCGTGTAGTGCTCGCTTTGGATGAGCATCTCCTTATTGCCAGTGTAAGTGTGGCTTCCATCCCAGCTCTGGCCACTGGAAGCCAAATTGTCCAAGCCATCTGGCCTTGGCCTGGCGATGGCTGCAAATAGGGAGCCAGGCCCTGAAGACGGATGCCAGATCTGGAGAGGCTTGCTTGTTGGGCCAGCAAAGCTTCCCATGTAGGTAACTGTCTTCTTGAAGTCGAAGAACCACAAAACATTACGAAGGGATGGTAGTTTTGGAAGCACACTCCCTGTGGGTTGCTCCAACACCGGAATGCAATCCAAGAGGAAACTGAAGAACATCATCATTGCAGTTACTTCCTGTTGAAGGTTGCCCTGCTCCACCCATGGCCTGCTTCTATCCCCGTAGAATGAATTCTCCTCATATCTCATGCTTTGAGAGATACAGAGCGGGACGAAGCTCGAGCATCTGGTAGCAAACCAGTGTAACGACTTTCGCCGAGAAGCCACTACCATGTCAAACCAAGTCCTCAGCCCCTTGGAACTCAACATGTCATGGTGGGGATGAAAAAGAATGTCCACAGAAGCTCCTTGGTGAAATCCTTGACGCAGCATCTCTCGACTGAGATGGGCTCGGCCAGCACAAAACTCAACAAATTCCAATTGATCCAATTCATTGAAATTGACCAAATTGAAAAGAAACCTTTCAGCAACCAGCACCATCATCTCCAAGCACGATGTTGCGCCGCGCAAAAAAGGATATGCTTCACACAAAAATGAAGGCCACACTTTCGAGGCCCTGCCGCCATTCTCTTGGTCAAAATCAAGAAAGTCTTGACATGTGGACTTGACATGATGCAGTCCTTCTGGCCAGTCGACACGCCTGCAGGGCAATTAACAAAATGGACTTCGAGGTTATTCATTGATCATCAAAGAATGATTTCAATTTGCAATGCATGTTGTCTCAATTTTCCAAGAACAAAAACAGCATCAGCGCCTATTGAATTTGCTGAAGGCCAAGAAATCATAGAAATCTAACGAAGAAATCTGTTGGAGCTTGTCATCCAGCCATTTCTCTTGATCGTCATCTTCTGAAGCTGCACTTGGGCCTTGAAGGCTGGCACTGGCTGTCAGTGGACAGCACCATCACCGGAAGAAACGCGAGGCCAGCTTGCTGGTCCATGATGAATAAATTGACACAAATGACCAAAATGGCAAAACCAACAAATGTGCTCATGGGCCAAAAAACCTGCGGTAAAAGAATTAATCAATCCAGTCCACACTTTTGTTTGGTTTCTTCACTGACAACAATACCAGTCCAAGGCTTCTGACCCTGCGTATAAAAGTAAAGGCTTCCTGAGTCCTTGGCCTGATGATGATTCTGGCAGCCTGCATTGGCATTGAAAGACCATCCCGGCACAAACTTCAAGCTTCAATACCACTGGCCACTACACAAATCAATCTGGTTCAAGTCAATTGAGTCAATTCACAATGACACATGACAAGCAGGCCCCAACATTTGACAAAGCATTGAAAAAATACCATCCAGGTGCAACCCTCAGGCTGTAATACCACACAAATCAATCAATTGAGTCAATTCACAATAAACACAAGCAGCCCAACATGTGACAGGATTATTTGATTCCCTTTTAAACAGAGCATCTTCTTGCGATTTTGCAAGTGCATCAGGTGAAGGACTTGCTTCACCCAGAGCGTCTTACCAAGGCCCTAAGGCGATGACTTTGTCATCCCAGCGCTCTTCTACTTTCTCCTGTTATAATTCCTAGGAGGTGGCAGCGCACGCATCTCATCCTTGAGGCCTTCAAAAACTTCATCTGGGACTTCTCCTGGAATTTGATCTCGGATTCCAGGCCCCAATTCCAACCCAGCCAAGACGAACTTTTCCCACATCCAAGTGTGCACTTCTTGAAGTGCGGTTTTCCAGTCACCTGTTGCTTTGAAATTTCTGGAATAATACATTTGTCTCTGGGTTGAATCCCACAGCTCATGTTGAACCGTTCTATTCTTGTCCATCTCGACTTGAAACCTGTGCGCATTCTTGTCAAGCCTCAACTTGAACCAACTGTTGGGCTCAATGCTTCTGAGGAGGGCAGGTGTTGAGTGCACTCGAGGCCCGACATCTCTGCCAGGCACAGGCGCTGGCCGAGCTGGCTCAGCCGGTTGAGCCGGGGGTGCAAGTTCAGCAGCAGGAGCTGCTGCTTCAGCAAGTTCAGCAGCAGGAGCTGCTGCTTCAGCAAGTTCAGCAGGAGGAGCTCCTTCAGCAACTTCAGACGGAGAAGCTCCTTCAGCAACTTCAGCAGCAGGAGCTGCTTCTTCGGCAAGTTCAGCAGGAGGAGCTGCTTCCTCAGCAAGTTCAGCTGCTGCTTCAGCACGTTCAGTTTCGTTTGCTTCACCTGGATTTGGCAGTGGGTCCTCCACATCTGAATTGACGCAATTGCCTGAATTGACAAAATTGACTTGAGCTTCTTCTTCCTCCAAATCCTCTTCGTCTTCCATCTTCACAGCATCGCTTGCTTCCTTGCCTGGTCGCTCGTCATCAGCTTCCCTCTTCCTTTTTCTTCCACTACTGCTTGCAGCCCCTTTTCCTGAGCCTCGGCCACTTCTTCCTTTGCCTTTGCTTCTTCCCTTCACCTTCCCTTTGGCTTTGGATTTGCCTTTGCCTTTGGCAGCCTTCTTCTTGGCTTTTTCCTAGAAGTGGAAAAAACGTAGATGCAATAACATGCCTGTCTTGGAAAAAAAATGAAAAATTGAAATGCAGCTGGAACAAACTAGCCAGACCAGCAACATTAAACATTTTAATCATCCAAGTTGCTGCTTGCTCCTCCATTTTTTCGTTGAGCAATTTGCGCCACTTCAATTGCTTCTGAGTTTTCTCCTCCCTGTAGACATTCTCCTTGACAGAGCGAAACTCCTTCTGCTCATCCGCGTCCAAGTGGTCAAACACAGCTTTTACCAAAGCTGCTTGATCTGGATCAGATGATGACTTCTTTGTCGTCTTAGAGTCGCACTCCAAGACCAGCTCTGCAAAGTCATCTCCGAAATGCAACGCCAGCTTCAAAAGGATGTCCTTCCTAGACTTCTCTTTGATTTCGGAGCCAAAAAGATGCCTCCCCATCAAGCAAAGATCTGTGAATGTCAGGCCATTGGAGCGCCGCAAGCAATTCTGCGCAAATGTTTCAGGAGGCCCAACCTGTTGCCAGTGGATGCCAAACTCATTGCTCCAGACTAGCTTTGAATTTGTTTGAAAAGCTGGCATGTTCAGAGAGCATTGCAGCCATTGACAACTTGACGACGAATCCAAAACCCATCGCATCATGCGATAATCATCATCAGCAGCGTCCACAAGCTTCAACGGCCAAGCAAGGGCTTGCCACTTCAAATTGCCCAAAATGAGTAGATAGACAAAATTGACTTCAATCACTTGCCCTTGAAAAGCAAGGCGGTTCAGAAGACCATCCTGACGGGTAATTCAACTGACACAAAAACATTTGCTACACATCATTTTGGTCATTTTCGTCACTTCCCTGGCCTCCAGGCGAACACCTTGGTCAGCAAGCCTTTGCCCGCAGTATTGAATCATCCATTGCCATGCCCCGTATGAGGTTCGAAGCCAATCCTCACTGACAGTGCGCCACATCTTCTTCGTCAGAATCCCTGAGTAGCGAGCTGGTAGACTATGGCTGGATGATTTGAATTCCTGGCGGCAGTTGAAATCATCTCTGGCATCAGGCCACTTGTCCAAGAATTCTTCACGGGTTAGGGCAGCTGGATGGACGATCCCTCTCTTGTCCAAAACCTCAGAGAATTGGCAAACAAGCTGCAACGTAGCTCCAGAGAGCTTCTTGTTGCTGCCTGGGTTCGTGGCCACCCTGCATGCTTGGTGAATGTCCTCAACCACTTTTGAATCCGCAAAGCCACCAATCAGCAGCTTGGCCAGCTCTTGCGCTGCTCCAAAGTCAAAATGACACAAATGACACAAATGACACAAATGACGACAAGGCAAATCGAAGACCGTCTCAATGTCACTGGCAAGCTCTGCTGCAAAAGGAGCCATGCTGCACCGCAAGGATTGAAACCAACGATACTCCTTCAAGAGCCGCATTCTTGTCACCTGTGCTTGCTGGGGATCTAGAAGCCCAACCCATGTCTCAGGTGGAGCTGAGAACTTGGAAAGCGTTGCGCAACGATTCATCAAGCATCCAAGAGCATAGGTATTCACTCTGGCAATGAAGGCCTCCTGGTCAGGCACAAACCGCTCAACATCGGCCCAAGTTTGAGCGCTCCACGATTCAGCAAGGGTCTGGAGAGACTGATGACTCATCCATGACTCGACCATTTCCAAAGATTCAATGATTGCATGCTCTGGGCTTTTGACATCATGGATCTGCTGCGAGTACCACGACCACATTCCATATTGAACTCTGAAGATGATGTGGGCATCTTCCCAATACATCTGTGTCAAACAGCCTTTGAGGCCTAACAAACCAGACTGACCATCAGTGTCAAGATCTGTTGGGAAGTACCACGAGAGGAGCATGAGGGAGCTATGCCATTCTTTCAAGTGGACAGCAGCTCCTTCGTTCCAGGAAAACCATCTGCTTGCCTTGGCAAGTCCGCCCTTGAGCCTCCACGATTCCAATTGCTCGGGAATGGAGTCCCAGATCTCCCTGTCGGAGCACCCTTCCATACCAAAATCATTGGCAATTCTCTCTTTCAATGCCTGAAACCATTGGCAGTCCTGAGCTGCTTCAAAACTTGATTTCAAATATGATTTGTTCCAGTAGCCTACATTCGCAAACAAACAAAATCAACAACCAACTTCAGCAAAAAAGTGAGGTCCAAGCAAATGACCCAGGATCAAAGCTGTTGGATTCAAAGAATGCTTCCAAGATCTGAGTTTTTTCCGTAAACCATTGGCCACTTCCAAAAGGCTTGGTGTTGACGCTGAACAGATACGTTGTTGCCAAAACACAAGATTCCAAGCCAGCTGCTTTGATTGGGTTTTTCAGGTCTCTCAACAGGCGGTGAATCTTGTCGAAGGTGAAGTGGATTTGGAGGCCAGCTTGGGAAGTGACAAAGGCAGCAGCTGCGCAGCCAACTTTGCCTTGGTCCATGATGCAATGCAAACAAGGCAAATCAGACAATTGACGTAATTGACTTAATTGAAACTCCTCTCCATTCAGCACTGCGACATTGTCGTCAAAGAAGAAGTTATCGCCTGGTTGCAGCTCCAACATTTTGAGCAAGACTTCAGGAAATTTAAAATCATCCAAGCGAAGGTCAGTCAACTTGCATATCTGGGCCGAAAGGCCTTGCAAGAACTTCAAGCTGCTAAGCCGTTCAATTTCCCGTCTCGCTGCCAAGCGCTCTGCTTCTGGTGTCAGCTCCATCTCCTGTGGGTGTAACACTTTTGTTGACCTGACGTGAACTGAGCACATGTGAGCCCCTACTCCATTTACAGGGTCATAGGCCAGGCTCATCAGGTAGTCCTTGTTGCTATGAGTTGAGGCATCCGTGACAATGGCGAAGTTCTTCACATTCAAGAAACTTAGCCTTGATGACTGCCTGTACATTGACAACAATTTTCTCTGCCAAACCCACGTCAGCTGCTCACTGATTCCTCCTTGTGGGTCATCTTTTCGCAGAGCACAAATCTTTTGGTATGACACCCCAGTATCCTTGCTTTGCTCAATGACACGCCAGATCTCATGAGGACTCATCTTCCGCAGATTTGCATCGGAGTTCCTGTTTGGCAAGGTTCAAACCTTTAATTTCCACACCTTCGAGAATTCACACAGGCACAAAACTATTTTACAGTAAACAAAAAGTAATGCATTTTGACTACCACCTAGCCTTCTCACGCGTCTGGATGGCACTGGCTGAGAATCGTCCTGCTGGGTCATCATCTCAAGCACCACATTGTTGACAACCCACGCCACAAACTTGAGAACGCATTGTTGCAGATTTCTCATGCTATCGGTGGAGAAAGGGGGAGGCTGTCGAAACGAATGTAGGAATGTATAAAATTGACACAAAACATGAGTAAATCCACCAAGGAAGGCTCCTCATCATCGTTGCTGGAAATGTCTTCTGTCAGAAGTGGCCCATTGTCTTCCCTGGCCATCCACTTCCACAGTGTAAGCCATAATTGAACCACCTGTTTGTGAACATGTCTTCCGAGCCACAAACGAAAGCCTTGCAACTTCCCTGTAGGCAGAACATGCATAGGAAAGTCACCAACTGAAAACTTCAGCATATCATTGTGGCGACTTGCTTCCTGGGTGACCAGCATGCCAACATCTTTGAAATAGTTTCTCATAGTCAGCGCTTCGGCATCAGTTCTTGATTTGTTGAGCAAGTCGAGCAAAAAGTGGAAGACAAGCAATGTGCTCACTGCATCAACGGCCAAGCACCCTCGCCTGCACAACAAATGCTGATGATTACTCTTGATTACATAATTGAAACAACCTCTTCATGTCAAATCATGTCTAACATAGTTCGACCATGATTCATCAAGGACAATTTTGTTTTGGGCTAATTGGCTAGCCTTCTTTCCTTTTTCACATGCAAATCTTCCCTGGACAAGTGTTGCCCTTCACAGCATTGTTTCTGGAGCTCCTTTAACATCTTGTACTTCTGCTTCTTTTCGCCCAAAGCATGAAGGTTGTCATAGACATAGGCAAAGTCCCACATGAAGCCAGCAGGTCCATTGTAGCCAACTTGGCCAAACTTCAGCAATGGGTGATCGCAAGCAAAGGGCTCCAAGTCTGTAGTCAGGGACTGAAAGTCCTCACGCCCTTCCTGACTGTCACTGCCGCCATCATCGAAGTCCATGAGACAATTCACACAATTGACTCAAATTGAACTACCTGAAACTCAAATGATGTCTTACAGATTGGCCATGGTTTAGGTTTGTGATCCCTTACTGATTGTCCATGGTTTGGCACCATTGCTGCACTGCAATTCAAACATCATTTGTTCAAAGCCTGAAGATTGTTTGGTTTCATTATATATATAGTTTTTTTCAATTGAAGTCAATTGATCCAAATCTGGCAGGCACACACCAACTCACCAATGTGCGAACAGCAATGAATGACTTCCGGCAGTCTTGACAGTTCAACTGTTCAACTTCACCATCATCATTGCACAAGTGTAAAGAATTCAGAAAGTCAGTGAAGTTCCAGCCTTCTCACTCCACAACGAAGCCTGCAGAAAAGTAAGCTACAGAAACAACACAAGTAAAAAAAGGAGCTCCAGCACAAGCTTTTAACGATTCAATGAAAGCAGCTTGCAATAGCAATAGCATAACAATGCATTTTCCCCATCATCTCTTCCAATGGAGCTTCAGACCAACGCCTTTGCTGCTGGCAAACCACAATTGCAACTCACACACCTCAATTGATGGCAATTGACACAAATGAAGTGCGTCAAAGCTAAAGTGGTCCGGCATTTAGCTGACTCCACTGCAGAGAGAATCCCCCCAAATGAGACAAACTATAAAATTCGATGATGGCCAGCCAATGGTTCAAAAAAACAAAAATGAGATTATACTATAGACAACTCATAAACAACTCTGCTGCAACTTAAAGTTTCCTCACTGGCTTGACCAAGCCATCTGCCAACTAGATTGGGCCAAGTTCAGCCATCGGATCATCTGCCAGTCACTCACTCAGACTCACACGAAGTCCACAACCTCGAAGTCATCCGCTCCTCGAACAGCTCGATCACCAGCCGGGGGCGTGATCTGGCAACGGAGAGGGCAACGCTCTTCGAAGTTGGATGTTGCTGTGTACCAGCTCTCCATACAAGAAAGATGATATGTGTGGCCGCACCCAAGTGTCTTCATCGCGCCATTGGTCATCTCCTGCTGGCAAATCAGACAAATGGGTGGGCCATCTCCATCTGCAGCTGGCACAGTCACAGCTGCTGCCTCAGCAGCTGGGCTAGGCTCGACAGCCAGGTCCACAGCTGGGCTAGGCTCAGCTCCCTGGGCATCTCCATCTGGGCTAGGCTCAGCTGGTGGAGTGGCATCTCTCACAGCTGCCTCAGCAGCTGGGCGGGCTGGAGCTGGCGGAGCAGCTGCCTCAGCAGCTGGGCTGGCTGGAGCTGGCGGAGCAGCTTTGCTTGTTGTCACAGCAATTGGGGCAATTGACGCAATTGACGAATTGCGCGCAGGGGGGTGAGGCAACGCCGGCACAGGTGCTGCAGCCGGACGCCTGCCTGCAAAGAACTCAGCAACACTGGACGGAGGAGCCTTTGCACAAGAAACAGGCTTCAGGAACTCATCTTTCCATCCCTGAGCAACAGCCACATCATTGACCTCGGCATCCCCCAAGACCAACGGAAGCTCCTGGACGATGTTGTCAGGAAACCCTTCGCAGGAATCCTTGATCCTGTCATGGGCCCTCTTGAACCTGTTGCCAAGATCCTCATACGAGGTCACACCTGGGCGATTGATGGTGAGATGGGTACAATAACTTTTGACTGATGTTGAAGAATC